CACGTTTGAACTCCGATTGACACGAAACTTGGCGTGCTTACATATCTCACTAATATGCATCTAACTTTAAAGCCGCTCGTCCAAACTCTTGACGGAACCACAACTTCTAGGGTCGTGGCCCGGGGCCCCARCTGGCCCCCGTTGAGCTTGTCACCGACACCACTGACGTTGCCTTCGCTTTGCATTCTGCATATGCCTTCTCTAGGCATTCTTGAGCACATCCATATGGTGTGATAGGTGATGCACCATCCTCCTTGGTCGCATCACGGCACTTCACTATCGGCCCTTGACATGGCCCGATGGGCGACATATGCTTGTCGCTGACACTTGCACACTACGTGGGCGTCACAACCTACTCTCTACTAGTATGGTTGTGACACACGGCTCCATGCCGAAATCATTTAGCCAGTCAGCCAACACTATATTTTAATCTCTTGACTATCTCCTTCATTTGTAGCCGAAATCTCATGGCCTCGTGCATAACGTCCTTGTTGTCTCATTCCTTTTCCTTTCTTTGTTCGTGTCGTGACCGAATCGAATTTGCTTTGCCTTCCTCTACATTTGTTCGTGTTTGTGGCATGTCTCATGCACCGAATCCCCTTCACTCCACCATTTTTATTCTTCCTTCAATTTCGAGCTTCTGGTCCTTCCAAAAAATAGAAAACAAAAAATAATAATAATGATGACAAAATGAAATACAAATAAAACAATTTTCGATTAAAATCGAAAACCGAATGATCGGCTAAAAAATGATTTGAACAAACAAAAAAAAGTCGATTTTTGGTTTTTGGAAATCGACAAGGTTAGTTCGGTGTTTGTTTTGACCAAAACCAACCCCCGCTGATGGATGATCACCTCTAATATAAACACCCCAAACTAAACTCACTTTCATATTGATTAAATTTTGTCTTTATTTTTCTTTTATGTAATCTCGCATTGGCCTACCGTCTTTCCATGTTTCCTCTTTACCTATATTGTCAAATTTTCAAAATGTCAAGTTTAGTATATAGATTTTTTTTATTAGTGACATTATATTGTGCCATCAATTTTCTAGTCCTTCCATATTTTATTTTTACCTATATTGTTAGACTTTCAAAATGTCAAATTTAGTATATTGCTTTTTTTTATTAGTGTCATTACCATGTCATCAATTATCTAGCATATCTTAAAAAAAAAAAAATTATCTAGCATATAGATTATGTAGGCTCTACACATATGTATTAATGTGCTAACTTGAATATGTATATACATACTTTTTTTTTCTTTTTAATTAAAGCTTCATCCATTTAGACAATTGCCACGAGCTACATTTGAGAGATACTATATCTCTGAAAATAGACAATAACTATTGAGGAGAGGACCACGAAATGGCTTATTGAATTAACGTGTGAGCAGCAAGATTGCAAATCCGACCCACGATGCAAGAAAGATATGGACTTTGAAATATCTAACTAAAGTGTGTGTCACTATTTTAGGAGCCAGCTCCACTCAAAGTTCTTAATATGTTGTATGGACACGAATTAGGTAGAATTCAACATACATTGATTATTGCTCAAAATAAAATGGCTACATTAATTAGATTAATTATAAATGGTCAATGAGAGAGAAAAACTGGAGAGGAGACAAGGTGATTGTAGGATAAAAGGTTAAAAACCATTTTTTTTAGCATAATTTGTTAACCAGGAAAAAAAAATATTATAAAGATATAATTTGAATTATAATATATGCTCACTCAGACCCTATTTTTAAATGTAAGTTCATTTGAACATATCGACACGTATATTCAAATTGGCGTTATTTGCATGTCAAATGATGAATAATATAATAGTGATAATTACCAAATTTTGAAAGTCTAGATATTTAAATTCTTTTATATTTGTTGTTAGGTACAAAATAAAACTAACAATTCTACATTTGAATATTTGTAATAAACAAACTTATTGCGATGAAAAGTCAAATTTTATCTTAAAGAAAGAAGTATTAATTATACTGTTTTAATAAAATTAAATTTGACCTATTAATTTAATTAAAGAACAAATAAACTTTATCCATAAAAAACACTAAAAACAATGGCGGACCAAGCAAAATTGCATCTGTTCTTCAACTGCAATGGACAATATCTCATCCCTTGCTCGTCACATTTCCATTTGAACAAGAATAGCCGCCGAGGTCGCAAAAGCTCTCTTCGAAAATATCGCCGTTCACGGGAATCACTGTTCATCCGGCGAAATTCCGTTAGGGTTCATCTCAAAGTCCGCCGCCGCTCGGCCACGATCAGAGAATCGAGAACAGATGTGCTCGTTACAGAGGCGAGGGAATGTCTTTCTCCTAACCCTAACCGGTCCAGGCGAGCACAGACTCAATCCCACGCTTATAGATGCGATTAAATCCTCTCTCAGTCAAGTCCGTTCCGAGGCTGAATCCGCCGCCGGTAATCCATCTAGTTTTGCCCTAATCACCACCGCCGAAGGCAAATTCTTCTCCAATGGCTACGATATCGATTGGGCTGCGTCCTCACTTGATCGGGAGTATCTCATGGACGATAAGTTAAAATCCGTCGCATCCGATCTCATCACGCTTCCGATGCCGACGATTGCCGCCGTTTCCGGCCACGCGTCGGCCGCCGGCTTCGTATTGGCGATGAGTCACGACTACATCCTCATGAGGAGAGATCGGGGATTCCTGTACATGAGCGAACTCGACATTCGCCGCGTGATTCCGTCTTGGTTTATGGCTCTGGTGAAGAACAAAATCGGAGCGCCGGTGGCTCGACGCGACGTCGTTTTGAAAGCGCCTAAACTGACGGCGGATAAGGCTCTGGAAATGGGGATTATTGACTCGGCGCACGATAGCGCGGCAGAGACCGTCGCGGCTGCCGTTCGATTGGGCGAGGAATTGGTGGCGAGGAATTGGGACGGTCCGATTTACGCCCGGAATCGGGTCGAGCTGCTCTCTGAAGTTCTGAACGTCATCGGGACACGCTGCATCGTCGCGAAGCTTTAGAGGTGGCGAGGAATTTGTACTGTCATAAATTATTATCAATATCAGTAAATGTAATGCAAAAAATTTACTGTCATAAATTATTATCAATCTCAGTAACTGCAATGCAATGCAATAAATATTTGTAAACCACATAAATGACTGAATATAGCGTTTGATCTAAATATAGCGATAATTAGGAGCATAAATTCTGAATGTTGTTTAATTTCTGTTGTTTAACTCTATCTCCAAATTAATGAGGACATGCTTGTGAATCTAAATCTAATATAAGTATTAAACTCGAACTTGATGAACATTTTTTTTCTTTCTATAACTTAGAGACATGAGGAGGTAGAAATTCAAATTTATGGAAATAGGTATCAATTAGTTAATATGTAATTTTAGAGTATAATGAAATTTTCTCTAAAATAAAAATAACTGTAATGAAATTTCTAAAATCTTTGATAAAATGATATCGAAATTCAAATTACACAACTTAAGACAATAATTTAACAAATTTGTTGCCAAAGTTTCATCCCACTCCACATCTTGTCCTCGTTTAGAAAAAAAAGGGAAAAAAGAAAAAAACAAATCTGTTAATATTTCTAACTTAAAAAGTTGGATTTGGAAAAATAAAAAAATCCCTACGTGGGATCCACTCTAGATTTTATTTATTTTTTCAAAGGAGGCTTGGGCAGTCTCGTAATATCACACAAGGAAAACTAATGACCGCCGAAGCCGCGCTCCAGTCCGCTTTGTGGATTCTCTATTCGCGTATCCAAACAACCCCTTTGCCCACCTTCGTCATGACTTCCGTTCCCTGCAAACCTCTTCTTCAATCTCCCATTCAGTGAGCGGGAGGAGGGAGAAGACGAACACCGAGGAGCTCAGGGTCACGGCCATGGCGTCCAATTCGGAACCTAGCGAAACCAGAGAAGAAGGAGAAGCATCATGCTCGGACAACGACACTCATGATGTACTTTTTTCTTGTTCCGCTTCCCGTTTTTCTTCTCAATCATCTGCATCTCAAGCTCCTTTATCCTTCCTTTTGATCCTTTTGGATGCTAAGAATGACCGTACATTCATTACCATTTTCTCGCTGCTTCTGTTTTTATTTTGAAATAAGGCTTCCCCGAGCTAGATACGATATTCTACTAGCTGGAGTTCTAGGTCTGTGTTTATCATACTACTTAGTTGTCACTGTCCTCGAGGTAAAATTTGAGAGAAAATATAATACTTAGAAGCTGAAATGGCTGCTCTACATTGTAGGGTTTAGATGATTTAGTTGTGTTGTGAATATCTTCTCTCCCGATTTAAGCTGTATATGTGTATTTACTTATGATTATATTTAAAAATACTTTGGGCTTATGAATAACTGTTACTCTTTAAAGTCGGATTAGCGTGGTATCTAAAATGGATTTTCTGTCTTCTTCATTTTGAGAAGTTTATTCGCCGTGACTGGGTTCTTTGGTAGTCGCGATATCATTTTATTTTTAGTCTGTACAGCTTACGATGATTTTTACTCCTCAGACGCATCCTGTTTGTTCTGCTATGCCTGCTTCAGTCCCATCACCAATATCATCCATTCTTCCCCCATGCAACGCAGAGATCCAGGCTGGTAAGTATTGCTGGCTTATGGAGTACACCGGCTTTTTATATACATTGTGTATAAGTTCATGAACACTACTCTTTCACTTTGAAATCTACAACAGCATCTAAATTTGCTTCTTATGCTGTTTTTATTATGTAGTTTTTGGTACAACTGCAATACAATTATGTCGAATGTAGTGTTTAGGCACATTATGAAACCAAGGACACTTGGCACCTGATGCATTCTTATCTATGGCAAATTAACATGAATTTAGGTATACCTGGCCTGCTGAAATATTCTTCAGCTTTACTAAGGTTGGAATGTGTATTACTTTTACCTCTGAAGTAATGAGAGGACATTGGACACTAGCTGTGCCTCTTTGTAACTGCTATGATTTATGTATTTACTGCATTTAAGGTTTCGATGCTTGAATTTTTCCTGTTCCTTTGGACTTTTGACGGGGTTCTCAAATTGTTGCTCTTATAGATGAATTGAGACGTGTATTAAAATTTATGCTAGTATTTGGGTTTATAGTTGGAATATTCGTAATGTAGGTAGGAATTAGTTTCATGAAACAATTGCAAGACTTATGTACATGATATCTTTTGTTAGGACCATATCCTGAACGATTAGTAATGGGCATGGACATAGAACCTCATGAGTTGATTGCAATATTGACCCTCTTATGTGCGTCACAATGCCAGTTTGTATTAATCTTAGATAGCGTAATGAAGGGACAGAGGAGAATAGGGAATCAATCACCACACCTTAGACACCAGATTAGGCAGCTGAATTTTTTTCGGCTCATTCACGAGGATGACTTAGCTTGTTGAGAAAGTACAAGAATGGATAGGAGAGGTTTTGCTATACTCTGTACCATGCTAAGAACAACTGGGGGGTTGTCAGTGACTCAATATGTAGACGTCGAGGAGATGATCGCTATTGTCCTTCATATCCTAGCACATGGTGTTAAGAATAAAGTCATTTGACGACACATTTCAAAGTCTGGTGAGACAATGTCTGGACTCTTCAAATCTGTCCTAAACGCCATCCTTAGACTTCACACAATCCTTTTGAAGACACCCGAGCCAGTAAATAACTCCTGTACCGACGAGAGGTGGTGATGGTTTCAGGTATATAAAATTTACTATTTTCTTCTTACAAGCAGTGATGGCTAAATCGACTATTTAAAGTTTTTCTCTTCTCATAATAGAATTGTCTAGGTGCATTGGACTGTATGCACATTAAGGTCAACGTAAGTGTGACTGATCGCCCAAGGTACAGGACTAGGATGGGTGACATTGCAACAAACGTGCTTGCTGTATGCTCCCAAATGGACACTTCATATTCGTCATGCCTGGGTGGGAAGGATCCGCATCTGATTCTAGGGTCCTAAGAGATGCAATATCACGACCTAATGGATTTAAGGTTCCAAGAGGTAGAAACGTGTTTATTATTATGAATTGTGTATATCTTTCTCCTTAGGGTACTATTACCTGTGTGATGCTGTATACCCAAATGCTGAAGGATTCCTGACGCCATACTGAGGACAACGATATAACTTGACCAAATGGCACGGAGGGAATGAACCATTCCCCGACTAGTTCGAAAGAGCTATTTAACATGAGACATTCTGCCACACGGAACGTTGTTGATAGGGCATTGGATTCGCTGAGGGACAGGTGGGCAATCCTACGAGAAAAATCATTTCACCCCGTCCAGATACAGTGTAGGACGATAACATGTTGCTTGTTACACAACTTGATACGTAGAGAAATGGGTCCAGATCCATTGTTCAAGGAGGTGCATCTAGGTGACCTTAATTCTAGTGGGATAAGTGCAGAGAACATAAACTTTATATAAGCAACTAGTGAGTGGACTGAACAGATAGACGATCTCGCGAACCAAATTTTCGCCGGATGGCAAAACGAATGACTATGTTTCCCCTTTTTTTTTTTCTTTTTTGGAATTTAGGAATGCTATGCGGCATATTGCATTTTGGAACTTGCATATATGGATATACGCATGTCAAGTGTGACAAACTTCTTACCTAACTAACTACTTACCTAACTAACTATGTTTCTTGGACCCCATAGGTGTCAAGCTCGAAATCCTGTAAACATGTACTGAAAATCTTTTGAGGATGTGAGGTCTTTGTGGTTTTTAATACTTTATCGTAATTTGTATAATTTATTATTATTAATGTTTTGAATACAGCACTTCGAGTTGAGATTTAAATGGATGACTTTTTTTTTTATCATAAATAGGTACTTTAATAAATTGAATTATGTTTAGGTCGATGTGATTTGCATAATTTAATTAAATATCCTAAAAAGACGGCATGATAATGATATCAGATATTAATATAATTTTTAAGTGACACTTTTTTAAGACACGACGTTGAGAAAATAAGTATAAGTTAAGAATTAGGGGTTTTGAATATGTGCACATAATTTTTTCTAGATAACCCAATTTCCTCTACGTCTGAAGCCTACTTGATTCCCTTCCATTTTGACAGAATTCAATAAGGTAAACATAATACAATCAACCGATTAAAAGTCTATATTGTTTTTAATTTGATGTTTTTAGAAATTAAGTTTATAAAATGATGCTTCGAATCATCATACATGATCTGAGGGTTAATAATGGTCAATGTAACTAACAAAAGACTTAGAGTAAGTGTATTTAAATTATGGTGGCTATCCACTTATGATATAATATATTTGTTACCTTATTTTTAGAAAAATATTTTCAAAACAAAGTCAAGTTTTGAAAAAAAAGATATATGATTTATTTTAGTTTTTGAAATGGGGGCCATAAGTAAAATATGTTATTTTAAAAAAATATAAAAAACATTACAAATAAGTGGTGAGTAATAATTTTAAAATTTATAATACTAAAAACAAGTTAGTTATCAAATTGACCTCTGGTCACATATACATTATACTTAATATCATTTATGACCGTCATTTAATAAAAATGCTATCACATAAAAAATCCTTAACATTTGATAATAATGTCACGGTCTTTTAAGAAATTGATTACTCGTAGAATTTGAAACATTAGATAATAATGATTTTTTTTTTCAGAATAACTATAATGAATTTTCTAAAATTGTGAGAAATTAATTAAGCCCAATTCAAATTACATGAACCAAAACAAAATTGATCGTACTAAAAAAAATTAACAAATTAACTTAAAAGGTGGATTTGGAAAAATAAGAAAATCCCTACGTGGGTCCACTCTGGATTCTTTTTTCCATTTTCTTTCATGGAATATTCCCGCACTCGTAATCTTCATCTAACGGAGGATTGGGGTAGTCTCGTAATATCACACGAGGAAAACCAATGACTGCCGAAGCCGCGCTCCAGTCCGCTCTGTGGATTCTCTATTCGCGTATCCAAACAATCCCTTCGCCCACCTTCGTCCTGACTTCCGTTCCCTCAAACCGCTGCTTCAATCTCCCATTCAGTGAGCGGGAGGAGGGAGAAGACGAAGACCTAGGAACTCAGGGTCACGGCCATGGCGTCCAATCCGAAACCTAGCAAAGCCAAACCCTCCGATACCAGAGAAGAAGGAGAAGTATCATCCTCGGACAACGACACTCATGATGTACTTTCTTCTTCCGCTTCCCAATTTTCTTCTTAATCATCTTCATCTCAAGCCCCTTTGTTTTGATCCTGATGGATGATATGAATGACAATACATTCATTACCATTTTATCGCTGCTTCTATTTTTATTTGGAAATGAAGGTTTCCCCGTGCTAGATACGCTATTCTACTAACTGCAGTTCTAGGTCTGTGTTTATCTTAATTCTTAGTTGCCGCTGTCCTCGAGGTTAAATTGAGAGAACCTATAATACTTAGAAGCTCAAGTGGTTGCTCTACACGGTAGGGTTTAGATGATTTAGTTGTGTTGTGAATACCTGTTCTCTCCTGATTCAAGCTGTAGTTGTGTATTTAATTATGATTGTATTTAAAAGTACGTTAAAGGTGGATTAGCGTGGTATGGTATCTAAACTGGATTTTCTGTCTTCTTCATTTTGAGAGTTTATTTGCGCTGATTTACTGGGTTATTTTGTAGTCGCGATATCATTTACATGTTTTTAGTTTATAGTACAGCTTATGATAAAATTTTACTTCTCAGACGCATCCTTTTTGTTCTGCTGTGCCTGCTTCAGTCCCATCACCAACATCATCCATTCTTCCCCCTAAGAATAAATGTAACGCAGGGATCCAGGCTGGTAAGTATTGCTGCGGTTATTGAGTACACCAGCTTTTTATATACATTGTGTATAAGTTCATAAACACTACTCTTTCGCTTGAAATCTACAACAGCTCTAAATTTGCTTCTTTTTCTGTTGTTATTATATAGCTGTTGGTAGGCCTGCAATATAATTATGTTCTTATTTAGGCATATTATGAAACCAAGGACACTAGACACCTGGTGCATGCTTATCTATGGCAAATTATATGGATTTAGGTATACCTGGCTTGCTGAAATATTCTTTAGCTTTACTAAAGTTGGAATGTGAATCACTTTCCCCTCTGAGTATTGAGAGGACATGGACACTAGCTGTGCCTCTTTGTAACTGCTACTTTATGTATTTACTGCATTTAAGGTTTCAGTGCTTGGATTTTTCCTGTTCCTTCGGACTTTTTACAGGGGTTCTCAAATTGTTCTTATAAATGAATTAAGCCATGTATTAAATTTTTTGCTAGTTTTGTTTTTATAGTATTTTATGATGAAAAATATATGCCGCTGACACAGAAGGCTGTTTCTGGAAATAAATTTTCAGCTTCTATTGATGTTTGCACAAGAACATCCTTGCAACCTACTTCTCAGAAGATATGCAATAACGATCAAGTTGTACATAGAACTAGTTCTCCTTGGGGTGCTTCCAGAGAGGCCAATTCGAATCTAGTGATAAGCTTCTCAGATGATAGTGGCAGTGACTTGGAGGAACGTGGTAAAGAGAAAACTTCAAAATCTTATGGTAATGCTGTTAGACATCTTAAGCCACCTACATCATTAGTTGATAAATCACATAAGTTTCGCACTATGACAAGGAACAAAGTAGTGGCAAACAAATTGTCTTCGAGTTTGACCAAAACTCCTGGAGCAAATTTCAAGGGTGCTGTTGGGCCCTCCTTGGCTGAACAAGGATCTAGAACCAGAGCTCTCAGTGGAAACCTACCGAGTCAAGGGCGTGGAAATGATCAAGGAATGAATTTGAACAGTAGTAAGCTGCAGGATTTGCGGGAGCAGATAGCCTTTTGGGAAAGCAAACTGAAGCTGAAGTCTGTTCAACAGAACAAGGAGATGGTTTCAGTTACAAACCAGGATTATACTGTCACGAATTCAAAATCTGATTTGGGTAGTAAAGGGAATGCCACCATAGCCCGTTTTCCTCCACTGGGGCCTAAGGAACCAGATGCAAAGCGTATGAAAATCAGTGCGTCTTATTCTACCAAGATGAATTCAGGTGGGCAACAACATCTATGTGCAGAAAACGCTGTAAAATCTGTTTACTGGCCACAACAGCCCGGCAGAGAGACACAGAACATTAAGGTCACTTTTGACCGGAAAGGGAATTCTGTGTGTAGAGAAGAGTCCAGTATGTTGAAGCAGAGGAAGGAAGGCATCAGGCATGTGGCTACTTCACCTTCACCTGCGAGCAACCCTCGCAAAGTACAGGATGGTGAATAATTGCTACTAAATACAAAATTTAGCTCATACAGTTTAGCTTGTGGGTCTATGAGGTGCTTAACTTGTAACTTATCATGATTTGCAGGTACCAACATTGTTGCTAATGACAGTCAATCAGATTGGGTTAGTAAGCAGGTGGATCCTCGCCCTCTTGTTGTTTTAGATCAAGCTACGGTGCTCCCAAATATAGCATCCAATGGCCAAACTCAGTTAGTAAGTTAATGATTGTACATGTGGCATGATGGATTTTCTCATGGATGTATTTTTATTGAATATCTAACATTCATCATACTCCAGAAAATTCAGAAGTTGTTCCATTGAACCTTTGATTAACCACCATCATCTTATGTTTGACTATGCTGTATGTGGAATTTCCTAAAATTGTGAAATTCATGGTGAAAGTTGCTTGAACTGCATCTGTGTTATTAACAGCGGATGATCAGGCTTCCTTTCGTCATATTTGGGAGATACTAAATTTTTTGCTTACGTGAAAGAACTCTTCAAAATTATGTTGCCGTCTATAATACATAGTTTCTAGCCCTCCTTCTTCCTTGAAGGAGAATTTAAATATTTGTCTCAACAGGATAATGTTGAGTTTCACAGTCAAAGTGATGTCCTTCAACCATTTGCTTCAACTGCAAAACATTTTGAAGGAACATGTCCTCAATCAGCATCCCATGTCAAGATACACGAGTCATTCAGTAGTTTCTTTAAGGTCTATCTTCAGGCTCAACTGTAATATTTTTGGTGTTCATATTTTATTATAGTTGCATGGATTCCCTCTAAATTTATTTCTATTGTAGTCGTTGATCAACAATAAAAGCACTGGAAATGTCTTTGGTAATTCTTCAAGTTGCATGGGCTCCAGCAGTTTTGATCTCCAATCACTATTTGAAGTGGAGGAGTCTCTAGACAAGGAGCTGGAAGAAGCACAAGATTTCAGGCGCCGATGTGAAATCGAAGAAAGAAATGCTTTCAAAATTTATTCTAGAGCTCAAAGGGCTTTGATTGAGGCTAACTCTAGATGTCTTGATCTTTATCACAAGAGAGAATTATTTTCAGCTCATTTTCACTCTTTTTGCATGAATAATCCCGGTTTAGTTAGTTCCTCAAGACAGCAAGACGACATGAGAATTGGTGTGGATCACTCAAATAGCATGTCTGAAAATGCAAACAGAGCTTCTCCTTCGTATCAGAAGCATTCTGAATATAATAGTTTTGCTCAGCAACAGGATGGTGTAAATATGCAACATGAAAATGCTACTCCCATCAATACTTCAAACCTGCACGTGAATGGGCAAAATTTGGGGTCTGAGCCTGGATCATGCTCTGAATTATGTGGTAATACATTGGATTTAGTGCCTTCTAAGGGCAAGAATACTGTAGATAGAATTCTCTCTCCATCCACTGATCCAAATGTTTCAGTGGATGGAGATGAAGAGTCATTTCCTTCTGACCATGAAATGATTGATTCCTATGATGAATGCTATATGGGAAATAAATTCTTTGAAGATGATCAAATGGAGGCATGTAATATGTCGAAGAAAAACCACTCTGACAATAACACCGAGGATTCTTTGCGTCTAGAAGCAAAATTAAGGTCTGAACTATTTGCACGTCTAGGTACAAGAAATTTGTCAAAGTCTTGTAGTCCATGTGATAACATTCAGGCTACGGTGGAACTGGGGGCTGAAAATGATGCCAAAAATGACAAAAGTCAGCAAAAGAATACAGAACCTACAGTAGGACAAGCAGTTGGAAATGACGTTGACCTCAGAAGTGAGAAGACTGAGAATGTTTTACTATCAGGAAAGCGAGATCAGCATTTTGGTTTTGGAGGTATGCTTTCTGTTCATATAATGCATACAGCTCTAGTTGCTGGTTGGGCTTTATCTTCAGGAATGAGATTTTTATCCCTCTTCATATATGATCGATCTTAATTGAAGTGGATTATGACTGCCCTTCAAGTTATCTAATTCATCTTTTCTGTTATGGTTCATTTGGTATGCACCTTTGAAATTTCTATTAACCTTTTATTTTCTTTCAAAGACAGCCTTTCTTGTTCTCATTTTCTTCATGTTATTTTAGGTGAACACTATTCTACTTAACATTGATTATCACTTCAGTTCTCTTCATGAAGACTGATTTTGGATGTCATGTTGTTGTCTTAGAATGGAGAATTATTGGGAAAATGCTTATTTAAACTAGGGCTGACTATTATTGATATCCTAGTTGGACATGTAATAAAACTATACGATATTGAAAAATTATGTGCTAACTATATGATGTTAAAGTTCAGTCTTTTTGCCTCGTCTGCGTTTGTACTTTTTAAACTTTATTTTGGATACTCACAATTATTAAAAAAGATTTAGAGAAAAACTGAGTATGCTAAGAATATTTACACTTTTGTGCGAGCATGTGAACTTTTTAAACTTTTTTGGATACTCACATTATTAAAAAATATTTAGAGAACTAGGAATATTTACACGGTTGTTTCAAACCCCCTCCTTTGTTTTATTATTTTTATTTTAATAATTCAGTTTTTGTGCAGGCACAGATAGATGTGAGACCCCAGATGACATCCATAATCGTTGTCATGTTGAAAATTTTCTGTTAGAGACTCATGATTCTTCAGACTCTGATGACAATGAACCATCCAATAGAGAAGGTCCTTGCTCCAAAACTTTTAGTTCTACACCTCTGACTTTGAACAGTGTTTTGCAACATATAAAGGCTATATCCTCGGTTAGTATAGAAGTCTTGCTTACTAGAACCCGAGGGAGTCTTTCTAATCTTGGTTTTCCTGAGGAGGGTGCTTCTCTGGAAGTAGATCATATCCACTGGAGAGAATTAAAAGAGTACTCTATACATGAGGCCATCAGACTTACGTATCAGAGTGATGGCTCTTATATTGATGATCTTGAAATCGATCCATTTTTGCCACTTTGCATGTATGAACTCCGTGGAAAATGCAACAATGATGAATGTCCTTGGCAACACGTGAAGGACTACTCTGATAGCAGTAGGAGGCAGTGTCAGCATGGTCAAAGTAATCATTCTGGTATGATAATTCTGATGTTCTTTCAATTGGATGGTTCACATTTTTTAGCTTTTTCATCATCATCTTTTGCAGAATCTTGCAATGGACTATCATCTTCTACGGATGAAACAAAAGTCTTCAAGTATGAAGATCTGACTCCTCCAACTTACCTGGTTGGCGTAGATATTCTAAAAGCTGATTCACATTCATATGACCCTGTTTTAGTACGGAAAATTAGTCAATGCTGGCAAAACTTTTTTAGTATTTCTTTGACGTTACCAAATTTGCTCCAAAAGGATGCTTCTGCTGATGGGCTATTTCTACACGATGCTCGTATTGAGGCCAAGGGAAGTTGGAATAGACAGTCATCATATTTTCAGAGTGGAAGCACAATATTGGTTTGTTTATTACTCCTCACATACGCCCTTGGTTCAGTCCACTGTTGAATAATTTTTCTCTTTTTGACATGTGGTACTCTATTGCTATATTACTAATTAATTCATATTTAACTCTCTCTGTCTCTCATCTTCCTCTGTCATGCGTGCACTTCATATAGTGTTTTTGGTTAGAAATATCTTATTCACATTCTTCGGATGCTGTGGTTATAGTACTTCATCTTTGCCACTTCCTTCAATGAAACTTCATTTCAAATACAATTTTGTCTGAATTATGATAACTCAATAACTTTTCTTACTGTATTTTAAAGTATGCCATTATATATGAACTTTTTTTTTTTTTTGCAAAGGATATATGAACTATTTTATACAAGGAAACGTTGGTTTATATTATTTTTATATTATTAATTTTTATTTTATAATTTCTCCTTTTTGCATATTGTTATCGTATGCGTATGATGGAGTTTTTTTTGGTTATGCTTGTACAGGTGTGACCTTGCTTTTATTGTTTCCTTTTTCCGTATTACATAGAATTGTCCCTTTTAAGTTGTTGTGAAGTTATCATTTTGCTCTTTGAAGGTCTCTGTTACATTTCACCGAGTGCTGATCCCTAATCATCTTCCTGTTGTTCAGTCCATTATCATTTAAATGAAACGTTTTTTTGGTCCATTATCTCATTTGTACTGATTTTCCTTGCGATTACTATAAAATTTTCTGCTACGTATTATTAACCATATCTTTCCTTTTCTTGGTCCATGATCTCACTTGTGCCAACTTATTACAAAGTAGAGTCAGCTGAAACAGGCTGATGAGAACCAAACTCTGGAAACAGCTCTAATTATTCTTAACCAGGAAACAAACAGTCGAGAGAGCATGAGAAAGGTATTTTTATTTTGTTTTCTTGTTTCTGTTTTTTTTTTGCTTGTGTGAACTATGTTGCAATACAATTGGAGATTTTTGGATTTCCAGGCTCTTCTTGTACTATCACGTGCTGTAGAGAATAATCCAGCATCTATAGCTATCTGGACGGTTTATCTCCTTGTATTCTACAGCTATACTACAACAAGAGAGAAGGATGACATGTTCTCTTATGCGGTATGCTTTAAATTTGTTCCCTGCAGTACTGTAGAATATACTTCGGAATAGGAAATGGTACCACAAAAACAGCTTGAAAGATCTTGATTCAGTTCATTTATTAAAATATATATGGTAGAGAGATGAAACAAGATTCTCGTAAAAAAAAGATGAAACCATATTCATAATGTCAAAGGTTTTTGTTCTTATCAAATATAGTAAAAACTGTTCAGTATTTTAGTGAATGCTTAAACTGTCAACCAGAGCGAGCCTTAGATATTTTTTTTGGATTTCATCAGTTTTTAGCAAGTGAGGACTAAAACATTATATGTTCTTCCATTTGTTGCTTGGTGATATTATATTTATACAAGACTTAAGACATTTTAGGACATAAAAAACCGGAAGTTCAAAGTTTAAAATACGAGGAATGGATGATTTAGTGATCCAAAACTCTAAAATTTATTGTCATGCATCTCAAAGTTACTTGCTCTTTGAAAACAATCAATTTTTGAAGTAACAGAAAAGGCTGTCATTGCTTGGAGAGGGAGAATGACAAAGCTGGCTTATTGGGGTGCTATACTTAGAGGCTATCTTGGACAATCAAATGGTGCCAACGGAACAAAAAATGGTGTTAAGGAAAATTTCTCTGGCAATTAGAAGTATTAGCTGTTCTGGATAATGGGTTAATAGACTTTGTATAGTTTACTCAACAGGGTCTTTGTAGGATAGCAATCTTTGTATAAATATGAAAATAATTGTAAGGCAGCTGTGCATATACCATGCATCAAACCAATGACCTTTGAAAACCTTTGATTTCATTTTCACCTTTCTGTTTGTCATTAGTATGGTTTTTTGCTTTTATTTTGTTCTTTTATTATTAAAAAAAACTCTCCTATTTTTATTACCTTTATGATTATTGCAGACTTATCTCTTCACCCATACTGTGATTGAATTGGTGGGCTCTTCTGTCCATTGCTTATTTTCGCACTCGCATAATCAAGCATTGTGTGGAAACCCTTTGCTTTTGTTCTTCAGGTCAAGCACAATGGGCAATCGTATGAGCTCTGGCTCATGTATATCAACAGTCGCATGAATCTTGATGCTCGATTGGCTGCGTATGATGCTGCACTTTCTGCACTCTGCAACAATAGATTTACTCATAACTTGGATGGGAAACATGCTAGTGCCTATATCTTAGACCTGATTCTACAGACGACAAATTGTTTGTGCATGTCCGGGAATGTTGAGAAGGCTATTCAGAGGATTTTTGGACTTATTCGAGTTGCAATGGATTCTGATGAGCCTTATTCTTTTACACATTCTGATATGCTCACATGCTTAAATATATCTGACAAATGTATTTTCTGGGTTTGTGTTGTGTATTTAGTTATTTACAGGAAACTGCCTCATGCTGTAGTGCAGCAGCTTGAATGTGAGAAAGAACTGGTCGAGATTGAATGGCCTACCATTCAATTGACAGATGGTGAGAAGCAGAGGGCTTCTAGGGTGGTCAAGAAAGCCGTAGATTTTGTTGATTCATGCTTGAACAATGAATCACTTGAAAGTAAAAGCTACCAAAAATCTGTTCAAATGTTTGCTGTCAATCATATAAGGTGCTTGATGGCATTTGACGGCGTAGGATTCAGTAGGAACTTGTTGGATAAATATGTTAAACTCCATCCGTCTTGCTTAGAACTTCTTTTACTTCAAGTGCGGGGAAATGGACATGACTTTGGGGATGAGACTGTTGTGGCATTTGAAGAAGCGATCAGGAACTGGCCAAAAGAAGTACCTGGGGTCCACTGCATCTGGAATCAATATGCTGAATATTTACTTCAGAATGGGAGATTCAAATATGCTAAAGAACTAATGGTGCGCTGGTTTGACTCTGCTTCAAAGATGGATTGTTGTCAAACTAGAATATTGGATAATAGTGATTGCAACTCCTTGCACTTGCCAGATTCAGGATCAATTTTACATGCATTAGATTGCAGTCCCAACGAGATGGATGTAGTGTTTTGGTATCTTAATCTTTCTGTTCATAAGTTACTGCAGAATGACCAATTAGAAGCACGTTTGGCCTTTGACCATGCTTTGAAGGCTGCTGGATCTGGGACTTTTAAACATTGCATGAGAGAGTATGCTATGTTTTTGCTTACTGATGAATCCTTGCTGAATGAGGCTGCTTCTATTGGTGGAATAAGGAGCATTTTAGAGGGTTATCTCAATGACGTGCGAGCTTTCCCTGTCCCTGAGCCATTATCCAGAAAATTCATCAACAATATCAAGAAGCCAAGAGTTCAGCTTCTTGTGAGCAACATGTTGTCTCCAATTTCTCCAGATGTTTCTCTAGTGAACTGTATTCTTGAAGTCTGGTATGGGCCAACCCTTTTACCCCCAAAATTTAGCAAACCAAAGGAATTGGTGGATTTCGTAGAAACCATCTTGGAAATGTTGCCTTCTAATTATCAGTTACTATTTTCTGTCTGCAAGCAAGTATTCAGTGGTAACGACTCTTCCCAAGTTGCCTCTGCCAGCCTTATTTTCTGGGCCAGCTCAAATTTGATCAGTGCAATTCTCAATGCTGTCCCAATACCACCAGAGTTCATATGGGCAGAAGCTGCCAATATTCTAGTCAATGTCAAAGGTTTTGAAGCCATAACAGAGAGGTTTCACAAGAGAGCTTTATCAGTATACCCATTTTCTGTTCAGCTGTGGAAATCATACTATAACATATGTAAAAATAGAGGAGATACGAGTGCTGTTCTGCAAGCAGTAAACGAAAAGGGAATCAAACTCGACGAGTCTTCTTTACAATAGGATCAGTAAAATCACAGGAAAATTAGAGTCAGTTTTTAGTTGTGGGAGAAGCCTCAAATGTACAGATAGCTTACTTCATACTGTTTAGGCGCGGTAGTTTCGCCAGTTTTGCTAAGTGGTAGATAGCTAATTGCGGCTAGGAATTAGATAAACAACATTTGCAGAGTGAGAAAAAGATTGATTTGAGACCTCATTGGAATTGGATTTGTTGAGTGAGGGCGTTATCAGGTTTCAGTTTGTTGAGGGATTTGTAAAGATAAGGTCTTCCCCATCTTTCTTGGTAGCTGACATTGTTTTGTCTTGTTCTTCATCATCTTTCTCCGCCTGCTAGAAATAGTTTCTCGAATTCACTTTACCCTTCTAAATGTAAGTACACTAACCATTTTTAGGTTGAAATGAAAAGGAACCGCATTGGATGCTCATTCGTTGAAGGTTTGTTTTCCTACTATCTATTATCTTATTTTGTTTGTGAAAACTGCTAGAATGGCTATAGACTTATTGGACTGCATGATATTGTATTGGCCAAGTATTTGATTTACAGGTTAGGGAAGTAAGTTGAGTTTGAATTTGACAGGAAAATTTATTTATTCGTACTTTATTAATGCTATGGTTTAAATATTTCTAAAGATTGTTTTCATGCTAATGAGTCCATTTACGATTGCATGTAAGATTGTTTAGAAAGTATCTTTTTGTTTTCAACTCTTATAATCAGGCTACTAATAAGTATTCACAAGCTTATGGTTTTTTTGGGAGAAGAATAACTACAATTATTCTAAAAGAATAGAGTATCCATGAAAATAAACTAAGGGTATTAGAATAATTAAATTATGAAAATGGTCATTCAAATGTAATTTTATTGAATGTTTGCTCTAAAAGACAGAATAAGATAGAAACTAAGCCTTTTGAAATTAGTTCCTAAATGGTCGATTGGTTTTGACAGCGTATTTGTGCTTGGTGGTGTGCTCTAACCAACGTAGTTATCCATTAGTATAGTCTTTGGGCAAAAAAACTAAAAAAAAAAAAAGATATTTGATTAGTTCTTAAATCAAATATTGGTTCTAACTTTTTTGCACGAGTTTTCAAGTTGGTTCGTACAATCACAGATATAAAAAAAAATATACCACTAACTTTCACTAACAAAATAAAGAAGTGGTCATATATGATCAATATTACCTAATTATTTTTTAGGTAGCCAGATATGGGTAAAGTCATTTGGCCGGAATGACAAAAATACCCTTCACGTAGCCCACTAATTAACATGCTGTGCCGCGAACGACAAAAGGAAGTTTTAGATTCTTTGGCGATACCAGGCTACTGTAAATGGGATGCAAGCAACATGAAACAAATTCAAGAAAGTTTCCATTTTTATTTTGGACCAAAAATATATGGGTAAGTCATTTGTGATTTTGAGAGAATAAAATTTCTCAAATAACAAATTCTTTTAACAATGGAATGGTTTGAACACAAGATCTTGATATTAGATTAAGAATAAATAAACTAAATTTAAGCTAATAAAAAAAAGACTATAATTAAGATACGTGGCTGATTTCTGTGAGGGAAAATTCAATCCCCTATATCATGGTACTAAAAAGTAAAAGAAATAAAATACCATTGCCAACCTGAGTAAAATCTTAAAATCAAATATTGTTTCTAACTTGGTTTCGTCACCTCTTTTTGTAAATAACAATAACAAAAAGAAACGGAATCAAAAGACGTACGAAACGAACCGGAAAAAGAAGCACGGCGGGCCGATCCATAGAGAGCTGAGAGCAGAGGACTAGGTTATATAACCAGCGGCAGTCGGCCGTCGGCGCCGTTCGTATAACGCCGCCGTTCTTCGAAGTTCAAACCCACTAAAACCCTAACTCTCTGAAGATTCGAGGTATCTACTTCTGTGCTGCGAGATGAATAACTTGAAGCTATACTCGGACCTCTCTCTGAAAATCGAATTACAAACGGATGAAGAATTCATACAGTTTTCCGCCTTCGACATTGAGAGGAGTCGTATTTTCTTTCTCTCCTCCGCCAATTTCATATACACTGCTCAGCTCGCTTCGTTCCAGGTGAGCTCTTACCCTCTCGTTTTGCAATTTCATCTTCTTTTCGTTTGAAATGATAACCCATCGAGTTATGGAAGAAATATTTGGGTTGTTAGGAGTCAAGTGATATACTCTGCTGTGTGCGCTTATTATTTTCGTTTTTTTTTTCTGTTTAAATGTGCCAGATTGAAAGAGTGAAGAGCGCAGCCGTGTTCCCTGAAGAAGTTCATCATGTTGATGTGGAAACAGGGGACTATGTTACGTCCTTCGATTATTTGATGGAGAAAGAAGCTCTGATAGTGGGAACTCGCAATGGAGTTCTTTTGCTGGTTTCCATGGATGGCCATGGGAGTGAAGTTGTTGGCAGGGTGGAGGGTGGTGTGAAACGCATCTCACCTAGTCCAGATGGTGACTTGTTATGCGTAATTTCTGGGCTTGGGCAGATTTTAGTAATGACTCATGATTGGGATTTGATGTATGAGACCACACTCGAGGATATTCCTGAAGGTGTGTTGACGTACGTAAGGACTTCTTACATACTTTGACTGCAGGGGGTGTTTTATGTTATATTTTGTCTCTCTCAATATGTGTATAGCCAACTTCAAAATACTTACTATCTCTATCTCCAAAGGGCGTTGACGAACTATATTTAAATGTGAATTATAGAAGAGAAATTCAATTACTTGATGATATTTGTTGGCTGCAAGGTTCTAATTGCTGTTCTCTGGTTCTTATAGCCATCCATTGTTAAATTAGAAAAAGTATCATAATTCTAATATTTTGTTAAAATAATGATTAGACCATGTCTTCAGGTGAACCGAACTTTTCAGAGCAAAATGATTTTGATAGTTCCATTTCTTGGCGAGGTGATGGGAGGTACTTTGTAACACTGTGTGATGTAGAAAATTCAAATACTGCGCTCAAGAGGCTCAAGATCTGGGAGCGAGATGCAGGCTCCTTGCATGCTTCATCTGAATCAAAAAACTTTGTGGGTGGAGCTCTGGACTGGATGCCCAGTGGAGCGAAAATTGCTGCTGTTTATGATAGGAAAAGTGAAACTGAATGTCCTACTGTAGTATTTTACGAAAGGAATGGATTAGAAAGAAGTTCTTTTTGTATTAATGAGCAAATTGGTACAAAAGTTGAACTTTTAAAGTGGAATTGCAGTTCAGATCTTCTTGCAGCTATTGTCAGATGTGAAAACTATGATTCTGTAAAGATCTGGTTTTTCAGCAATAATCATTGGTACTTAAAGCATGAAATTCGGTACTCAAAGCAGGATGTGGTTAGGTTTGTATGGGATCCAACAAGGCCTCTTCGGTTATTTTGTTGGACTCTTCATGGACGAATTACAATGTATAACTTCATATGGATTTCAGCTGTTGTGGAGAACTCTACAGCATTGGTTATTGATGATGGAAAGATACTTGTGACTCCCCTTTCTATATCTCTCATGCCACCTCCTCTGTATTTATTCAGCTTGAAATTTTCGAGTGCTGTCCGTGATGTGGCCTTTTACTCTAAGAATTCTAAGAACTGTTTGGCTGCTTTTTTATCAGATGGCCTTTTATGCACTGTAGAGCTTCCTGCGGCTGATGTCTGGGAAGAACTAGAAGGAAAGGAGTTTTATGTTGAAGCTTCAATTTCTGATTCAACATTTGGCTCCTTTCAGCATCTTGTCTGGTTGGACTTGCATAAACTTCTTGTTGTTTCTCATAATGGATTTGAGGACTATAATTATATTTCTCAAGGATCCCCCAATGATGAGCCTCTTGGATTTTGTTTATTAGAAATTGATCTTGAATGTTCTAAGAATCATGTTCTAGGATTACCCACATGTTCTGGTTGGCATGCAAGGATTTCTGATCGAAAATTTATTGAAGGACCAGTTATCTGTGTTGCTCCAAATCCTGCTGAGAATTGTACTGCGTTTGTCCAGCTTAGTGGTGGGGAAGTTCTGAAGTATACATCTAGGTCAGGCTTTTCTGGTGAATTTTTCAAACAGGAGGATAAGAGTTTTTCATCATCTTGTCCCTGGATGAGTGTGGCTTTGGTGGATAATAATGGGTTATTAAAGCCCTTTCTTTTTGGACTCGATGATATTGGGAGGATTCATTTGAATCGGCTGGTAGTCTGCAACAATTGCAGTGGTTTCTCTTTTTACTCAAAATTGGGGGACCAAATAACTACACATTTGATTTTAGCTACTAAACAGGATATGCTTTTTATTCTTGACATTTTGGATGTATTGCATGAAAAAATAGAAGAGAAATACAACTTTCTCCAAGCTAGTCGCCCGGGCAGAGAAGAAGAAAATAGAAACTTTATCTATATATGGGAAAGAAGTGCCAAAATTGTTGGTGTTATGCACGGTGATGCTGCTGCTGTGATATTACAAACAACTCGAGGAAATCTAGAGTGCATATATCCAAGAAAGTTGGTGCTAGCATCTATCATTAATGGATTGATCCAAGGGCGCTTCAGAGATGCACTTCTCATGGTGAGGCGTCATAGGATAGATTTTAATGTCATTGTTGATTTCTGTGGTCTACAAGCATTTATCCAGTCTGCCCCAGAATTTGTGAAGCAAGTTAATAATTTTAACTACATCACTGAATTTGTTTGTGCCATAAAGAATGAAAATGTAACAGAGACACTGTATAAAAACTTCATATCCCATTCATGTACGGATAGCTGTAAAGTTGGAACATTGAGCAAATCTAAAGATTCTCATGTAAAGAATAAGGTTTCTTCAGTCCTGTTGGCCATAAGGAGGGCTGTTGAGGAGCATATGACTGAAAGTTCAGCAAGGGAGCTATGCATTTTGACTACCCTTGCACGTAGTGATCCACCAGCACTTGAAGAAGCTTTGGAAAGGATAAAAGTTATTCGTGAAATTGAACTGTTAAATTCTGATGACTCAAGGAGAACATCTTATCCTTCTGCAGAGGAAGCTCTGAAACATCTCTTGTGGTTGGCTGATCCCAAGGCTGTTTTTGAGACGGCTTTAGGCCTTTATGATTTAAAACTTGCTGCTATTGTGGCAATACACTCACAGCGGGATCCAAAAGAATTTATCCCTTACCTCCAGGAACTAGAAAATATGCCATTACTCTTAATGTGCTATAACATTGACCTAAGGTTGTCAAGATTTGAGAAAGCTCTAAAACATATTGTTTCAGCTGGAGAGGCTCATTTTTCTGATTGTATGAACCTCATGAAGAAAAACCCTCAGTTATTCCCTCTGGGACTTCAATTGATCACAGATAAATCTAAGAGGAGAATAGTCCTTGAGGCATGGGGTGATTATCTTAGCGACGAGAAAAGTTTTGAGGATGCTGCGGAAACTTATCTCTGCTGTTCCAATTTGGAAAAGGCTTTGAAGTCATATCGTGCTAGTGCTAACTGGAGTCAGGTGTTTATAGTTGCTGGGTTGCTTAAAATGAGAGAAGATGAAATATTACAATTGGCTCATGAACTCTGTGAAGAGCTTCAAGCTCTTGGTAAACCAGGAGAAGCTGCTAAAATTGCCCTGGAGTATTGTGGGGATATTAACCGTGGGGTGGCTTTGTTAATTAACGCCAGGGACTGGGAAGAGGCTTTGAGAGTCGCTTTTATGCATCAGAGAGAAGATTTAGTTTCAGAACTGAAGAATGCATCTGCAGAATGTGCAAGCATGCTTATTGGTGAATATGAGGAAGGGTTGGAGAAAGTAGGGAAGTATTTAACTCGATACTTAGCTGTTCGGCAAAGAAGATTACTTCTTGCTGCTAAAATCAAGTCAGAGGAAAGTTCAATGAATAATCTTGATGATGATACTGCATCAGAAGCTAGCAGTAATTTGAGTGGAATGAGTGCTTACTCAACTGGGTATGTGTTCTAAAATTCTTTATCATACTGCTTCGCTCATGTTCTTTTGATATTAACAAAGTCCCTCTCTAGAAATTAGATTTTCCTGTTTGGCTATACAACTTTTGGATGATAGGAAACGTTAATTGAATATGGAAAATAAGATGTAATTGGATGAGACCTTGATAGATAGAAAACATTTAAACCCTTGATACTTAATTTAGTTCAATGGACTTTGCTTAGTTTCTTTTATGCTTCTCTAAAATAACTATTCCTTATAGAAGTCCTAATCTACCTTGTACAGTTGTACTTGAAAATTGCTGATGTCATTATTTTGATGCTTGCTCATATTGTCATATACTGTTAAATCTTCAGATGAATATGGCCCTTCAGTTTTAATTTTGAATTTGCAAATATGAGTAATTGCTTTAGGCATTGAACTTTATATGGAAATTCCACCGCGCTAGGTGAATCAATTTCTCAACTGTTCAACAGATCAATTTTGATCCTTCTGGTCTTGTAGGTATGGTTTGAATATTTTGATACGGCAAGATTAAAATTTGTGAGTTTCAGATAACTGGCTGATCCAGGACAATTAGCTATCAGACATTTTTGCTTGTTCTTCAATTTTTTTTTTTTTTTGAAAAAGATTCTTTCCTCTTTCTGTATGTTTAATTCTCCTCGTTCAAGCTTTATTTCTTCAAACTCAAAACATATGTATGTACATGAAGATCAAATATCAGTCTGCAATTAGCATATGTGTCATAAGCAAACTTGGAGAAGGTGTTATAACTTCAATTAGTCTAGTCCATCCTTCTATGAATATTGATTTTTAGTACCTTCCTCAATTTATGACAGGAGTAGAAGGAGCTCAGCTGTTTCCATGAGCACAACTGCAGGTAGGAAGTCCAGGGAGGCAAGACGTCAGAAAAGTAGAGGAAAAATCCGTCCAGGAAGGTATTTTTACTGATCATTTCCCTTTCTGACTAATGCATCTTGTCACTCACAAAATGACATGATTATTTTACATTTGTAGTCCTGGCGAGGAGATGGCTCTTGTAGAGCATTTAAAGGGCATGTCTCTGACTGCTGGGGCTAGGTCTGAGCTTAAATCTTTATTGGTTTCACTTATGATGCTGGGGGAGGAAGAAACTACAAAGAAGCTTCAACGGACTGCGGAGAACTTTCAAATTTCACAAATGGCAGCTGTAAACCTAGCAAATGATACTATCTCAAGTGATATAATAAATGAACAGGCAGATACATTGGAAAATTACATACAGTTATTGAAAAGTGAAGTCCAAAAGTTGGAAGTTTTCTCGTGGCGCTCTAATGTATTCCTCTCTTCATGACTGGTGAGTTTTGGTAAATTGACCGAAATATCTTTTCAGGTCTAACTTGTGATTATATGTTTAGATTTATTGATAGCTTGCATGTAGATAGCATTGCATGTTGACAAACAGAAATCTTATGGTCCCCATCACTACTGCTACCATAATCATTGCCATTCCATGGACAGCATACTAGCATACACCTGGATCCAATACTCCAGCTCCCCTTTCACCCTCTTGGTGAGGAAAATTGTAAGATACAAGAATGAGCAATATTTAAAGTATTGGTTCTTGTGAAGGTAGCTTGAGAAACAGCATGTTTTTTATTAGAAAAAAAAAATGATACTGATTTTTCTCTTAGCTCTAGCATAAGAAATATCCAACCTTTTTTGGGGGAAGAAGACCTGAAGATGATGAAAACTAGACCTTCTTAGAAACCTTAGTTTACAAGCTCAGTTTGCCAAACTTTTCAGGCAGGAGTTTATTTTAATGTGCTCAAAGAAGGATATGTAAGAGAATTTCTCCACATCCCTCCGAATTCGAGGCTCTAAAATCCTCCAACTTTGTACATACCTCTCTATCATTCAAGTTTCTTTTAATGGAAGTCCTAACAGATTCCGATGTATAGAAACAATTACTACTCTTGTGGAGTTCCGTAGGCGTTAAACAGAATCCTTCTATCTAGAATTCTAGAATCTGTTATCTAAACTTCTTTGCTTTCTTTTTGGGTTTTTGAGATAGCCTCCCTTCTCAAGTACTGTTTTCATTTTGTGCTTGTCATCCTTCAAATTTATACACAGGCACATGCTTGAAAACTAAGTTAAGACCCCACTCAAGAAAAAAAAAAGAAAGTAGAGATTCTCTGGATATGTATATCTTCATATTGACATCCCTGTAAATGGATTATCCTTGTTTTTCTCTCAACCGGTCCATTTTCTTATAGTGCATGTTGCTCAATAAAATTTTCAATTGTTTTCTAATTTGCTTTACCCTGTCTTCAGTTTAACCATGGGAAGAAACCTGTTTTAAAGCCTCTCTCATCTCAAACTCGGGCAAAAGAGTAGGGTTGGCTGGTTGATTGTGATTTATGAGACTGAAGGAAGATACAATGGTGAGCAGCAGAATGGGATTTGATAGAATTCCAACCAATTTTTGCAGAAATGTTTTACTTTTAGAATCTGTATCAGTAGCTCATGTTCATGAGAGATGATTTTAAGTGATTACTTGATTTGTATTTCGATGATTTATGAAAATTTATTTTCTGAATTTTGTGGTTGAGTTTTAAGGCAGTGAAAGATTCCACTATGCAGAAGATGGTTAGAATCAGAATCAATTTTGATGATGACGTTCCTTAATTGTATTAAATGAAAAGGTTATGAGTGTCTAAAATAGATTAATGATTTTAATTTCTGAAACTAAATAGAATTGTATTATTTTTTCTTTTGGCCAAATGATTCAACTCTAAACAAGTATTTCTGGGGACCTGTCTGCTTCCTATTGGTCTTTTCTTATCTTAAAGGTATTTTATAGACCCTCTTTGGGAGAGTAATGGAATTGTTTGTGTCACCTTAGAGTTTTGAAACAATTTTGAGTTGATTGGGTTCTTAAATTAGGCACTGGAGGCATATAAAGATTTCACAGTTTGGTAGGGTAACTTAAACTGTTATGAATTATGTTTTCGAGAAGTCTCCGTTTTTTATTTATTAATTTTTTTTAGTTCAACCATATGCAAGTGAGAGGATTTGAATTTCTAATGTTTTCGTCATTTGTATACTAAAACTATCTTGATCTTGATGGATTGTATTTTAGAAGTTAACAGACACACGCTCTAAAAACAATAGATGAGAATAAATAATAAATAAAAACAAGAGGTCACCGGTTAGTGAGAGGATTTGAATTTCTAATGTTTTCGTCATTTGTATACTAAAACTATCTTGATCTTGATGGATTGTATTTTAGAAGTTAACAGACACACGCTCTAAAAACAATAGATGAGAATAAATAATAAATAAAAACAAGGGCCCAACCGGGTTCGAACCGGTGACCTCTTGATCTGCAGTCAAATGCTCTACCACTGAGCTATAGACCCTTTGTTGAGACTTTGCTTGATTGTTATATAAATAACTAGTAAATTCATTTGCTGCCTTCGAATTTCATCCCCTTTCCTCTGTAAAAATTGAAACAGTTTTTTTTTTTTTTTTTTTTTTTTTTAAATTGAAACAGTTACTGAACTCTAAATTATACTTTTAAAAAAAGAATATAAATTATACCTTTCTGAAGCTTTGATTTTTTCCCCTAAAACCTATGAATCATCGTTTGTTTTCATGTTAATCCAACAATTGCTAGTAAAAAATCAAACCATCAATTTTAAGATGGTAATAGATGTTATCTTATATACTTGAACTATAGTCAAAGGGCCAAGAGCACCCCTCGAGTAAAAGCTTTGATGGCCGGTTGACCAAAATGAGGATTCCAAATTGCTGTATTGTAGTGTCTTTTTTCTTGTTTTTGAAGCAAAAGATACAACATTATATAATAAATGAGAGATGAAATGGTTATAATTTATCAGCTTCGACAAATTGCAAGTGAATTAAGTTGATGCAACTAATACAATCCGAATCCAGTTAAAAGTAATATAAAGTTCACTGAAAAAAAAAAAATCAAATTTATACTTATATTTAGAAAAAATTGTGATATTTTAACAAATATACATAGTGAAATTTCTCTGTTCGAACCATCCAATTGTCTGCAAAACCATGAAACTCCAGGTAGTAATTCAAAATCAGAGTCGTAAACCACCAGAAAAGTGTCATCCCCACACCCAAAGAATTAAATTTAAAAACTCCATTTTACAGAAACTGCTCGTCAGATCTTAATTCACAAGGCAAATTAGTAGTGGGACATGAAATTTGAATAGAATGATAAAATGGAACATGAGAAACTCGAAAATCATGGCAAATTATTCCAACCGATTCTCCTCATAATGATAAAACCAAACTCATATACTCGAACTGGCATTAATCCATATTTACCTGCATATGTATTTCGGCAGTATAACCCCACAGCCATACATAAATATCCAACCATGTTAAAAATTCACGAAAGCCAAAGAACAGTCATCCTTAGAACAACTCTTAGGTAGAAGAAAAGAACTTTAAGGACATGCGAATATAATAAGCATAAAAAAGCAAGTTTGGAGCCCACAATCTATGAACATTTCACGTAATCAAGGCCAGCAGCTAACATGACTCAGGCGGACCGACTTCTGATAACATCGAGCCCCATCTCGGTAGGATCAGTTGCTTGTAACTCCACTTGAATCCCATCCAACTCCCTCTTGAACCTATCCTTTGAGCTTGCATAGATCATCTTGCTTCTCACCTTTGCTGTATCGGGAGACCTTCATAGATCACAGTCATAAACGATGAGTCCAAACGCAATGCGTATAGATTCATAAAATGAGAGAGAACTGATTCGAACAAACATGGAGATGGTAGAGTGAAAAGGTTATTTATATGGTACATTTACCATGCAATGAATATGATCCTGCTCTTTTGGCAATTCTCTTCAGTCACAAAATCGAAGTCGTAGACTGCATATCGGCATTCATCAGCAGGGAGGCTGGCAGCAAAATCATCATAACTTTGAGATGGTTCGCCAAGCTTTTCCACCAAAACCTGCTTCTGTTTTTCCTCAATCTTGAAAACTATAGAACGGTAGGTTCTTTTTGCCTTCAAATCCAGAAACCTAAGCTTGCAATCATCGTGCACAGCCATCCCTGATGCTGCATTTGCCTGTGATAAATTGATTTACAAATATATATTACAACTCAGAGAACTTAATCTCCATGGTATCCATGAATTCAAACCATAGTAGAAGTCCAGGGCAGGTTAGACAAGGATGGAGGAAAGTGGAACCAATTTCCCATTTCTATAACAAGTCGATCTCTTTGCTAGATAGTTCGAGCATTCAGCTCAAATTTGATGAACAGATACTTGGTTGGAGCGTGAAAATTGAGTTGGGGGCTGTGAAGCTTCATTTCTTTAAACTACAAGAAGATCAAATAATTACTCCACCAAACGCTTGTAATAATAACCATTACTGATTCCTTCTTTTTCTTTACTCTTCTTCCTGGGGGAGGAGAGTGTGGGAAGAAAAAGCCCTCGCCATCTAGCTATAGGGAGAGGGAGAGTAATTATACATTTTTTAGCCAAATAAGATCTCCAAAAAGGCAAGAAAGGAAAAAAAGCAAGAATCTCAACCCTCAATTTCATTTCAAGATTCTCCTTGAAACATCCAATAGTTTCTTTCATGTAACAAAATTCACACTGGCACAAAAATAGATAAAAATCAAATGGGCTAACCCCAGCTGGACAAGAGCATTTTGGACACAGCTCACGGAGTATCAATAGTTTTTGTGAAACAAATCGAAAATGGCATTCAAAGCACACACCAACCTAAAATTAAGATTCCAACGATTTCCATCATCCCAAACTTCATGAATTCTGGAGGCTATACTAACAGGGCTATACAGTCTAGGAATTTGAGGAACGAGACGATGGTCTCACTATAGCAGAGATCTTCTCATCATACCCAACTCCAAATAGAAAGCTGGCTAAAGAAAGACATGAAGAGAGACTTACATTTGATTTGACAAAGTTATAACCAAGGAGTAAGGACTTCCTTCCTTGTGTTGGTGTAATTGTCAGAAGTCTAATATTTATTTTTTCAAACAAGATGGAGCTGTATCTGTATGTAACAAATCTTTGCCGGAAACAAATTTTTCATAATAGAATAAGTCTTTATTGAAAGGCATACCTCAAAAGGTTTTTCTCTTAAAAGGTGGTGTAAAGTTCTAGACATATAAGGTCTAAAGTGGTTTTTTGAGGGTTTTCAGATGGAAGGTGTGAAGCTCCGGAGGCCAAGATTTTAAATCAATTCTCTATTCTTCATGACCCTTATGAATTTGTGATGAATCATCATACTCTTTCAACGAACACAAATGCATGTGCATAAACCACTGAGATGGAGCAGACAGAATCAAACTACATTAAATGTGCAAAAGGTAAAGCCGTGGACAAATTACAAAAATAATGCAAAGATAGATAAAAGAACGCGACCTATACATAAATCTTCCTTCCACAAAAACCAACCAATGTACTAATATAACCTTAAAAAAACCTATCATTGGAAAACAGAGTACAGTTACAAGGCCCCAGTGAGAACAGCAATAAATGAGTGAGAGTGTAATAAGTTTTTTACTTCATCAATGATGGATAATGCTTTACCCACTCGCTTACATGTGTATGGCACTCACATATTTAAAAAAAAAAAAAAAAAGGTAACAGAGATCAAGCACTAGGATGCCAACAAGATCAACAATCTAGGGCCAATGAAGTAAAAAACAAGCGGACCACAATGAGCAGCGAGATGAAAAATTATTAACCACCAATCGGTAGAGCGATTTACAAGGATTCCATTTCAAAATAGCCAAAAATCACACGGATCGAATACAAAAACGCGAGGAGGAACAACTAAAATAAAACTAAAGAAACAAAACCTATAAATATTTTTTAAAAAATGCAAGAAAATATGCCAAATATAGAGGTGAGCAAGCGCAGATAATAGGAAGAAATGCTCACCATTTTCCCGAGAAAATTATAGGCGAGAAAGCGAAAGAAAAGGCGAGAAACGTTGAGAAAATTTAGGGCTCCCTCGAGCGAGATGATAGAAGAGAGGCTGTAGAGGAGGATGGATGAAAAACGAGGGCTGCGAAAGTGATTCGACGCTGATATTAAAAGCAAATATTATATAAATAAATAATAATGGTTTTATTAATATTAATATTAATAATAAGTTTGTGGAAGCGATTCACCCTGGGGGAGCTTGCTAATATCACCGTGACGGTTAAGAAGCCGAACATTCTACCAATAATTTGGCTCCACCCAATTTTAGCGGTGGGTATCATTTCGGTCCCACCTCAATGCATGAAAAGCATCCAATTTTCATTTAGAAAAAAGAAAAACAAATAGCCAAATACCTTATAATTTATACGTCTATTTTTTTTAGATAGGATGAAATTCTTTTTCCTAGTACAACAATTTAGGATATGAAAAATCCAACCTCGAACTAGTAAAGGTGTATATGTCAATTACTATTAAACTTGCTCGTAATAAAAATTATTAATTAAGAAAGGGTATCACTTAAGCTACATTTGAGACAAATTCCCTATCCGACATTTTGTATAAACCAGGTAGATATTTAAGATATAGTCGACACACGTCTCATATATGAAAAAAATGGCTTTAGAAATTAGGTTATGGGCTATGAAATTATTTCTTCTGAGAGCATCTTCTAACACCGCTTCTTCAAAGGAAGAAAGCTCGTACATATCTTTGATCCACGTTCAATTTTCACTGATATCTTCAATTTCTTAAAAAAAAAAATCATATTGAGTGCTGTGAGGGAATCAGATTCCAAGATTGGTCGGTGAATATTGAGTTGATTTGCAAGCTTGATTCCTCCTATTCATTTAATTTAGTTTTATCCAAAATATATTTATATTTAACTTGTGGAGTCAAATTTAACCTTACTCAATTGAGTCTTATTTTTTCTAAATTTTTTTATAAATACTAGAAATGTAAACGTAGTTGGATAGTTAAGCAACTCAATCTTTCTTATTTAAATTCCCGCCCTTATATTTGATGTACGTGTATACTTCTCAATTATATAATCAAGTATCAGATGTTTTTTTATGACTGAATGTTAGTATTTTTGTAATTTACTTTCTTATATTTTTATTATAATTCATGTATGATTTTATTGATGGATTATATTCTATATTGATATATTGGTCAAAGCAAACGTATATCTCYGAGAGGTCGTAATCGATCTCCCACCCCCATATATTGCTGTACTCATTAAAAAAATCTATATTGATTTTGACCAATATGAATCTTAAATATGTATAATTTTTTTTATTCAATTTGATGAATTAAGAACTTTTATTTTTATTATTTTTAGTATAACCTATGGGGTGGAAATTCGAACTCTCACCCTCATGGTTGGATGAACGTGCTTTAGCCTAAGTTGATAATGCTATATAAATGTAGATAATAAATGCTACAAGGTCAATCAAAAGAAACGGTGCATGTCAATTCCTGGATAAAACACTTTCTACTTTCTTCTCTTTTTCCTGAGAATACTATTCCCTTCTCGTGTGTATAAAAAAAAAAAAAAACATTTTCTATTTCCCAAGGGTCTATCCTCAAATTAAGAAAAGAAAAAAAAACATTATTTTTATAATTATTAAATTTTATTTATTCTTGTTCACAGATCCTATTCCTCAAATATCTATTTCTATAACCCTTTCTCTGCAATTATTCCATTCAAGACGCAACCCACAAACCGTTAAACTTGGGACAAAATTGGTATCTTATTTGAATTGAACCCTACGCGCAGAATCATTTATAATTTCATTGAAAACTAGCCCACAAGACGAGGTTGGTGAACCGACAAGTCGTTTTGATGCGTCATATTCATAGTCATACCGAATTCACAACTCAGGACACCAAATTTACTAGAAATGCCCCCCAACCCCCTCTCCAGAGAGAGAAAAAAGTAAATCAATATGAGGGTGTGTAAAATCAAATGGGTATTTTCTGAGTAAAAGTCACAGGAACCAAACATAATCCTTCACTTCTTAGACCTTCTTCCTTCTGTCGAATTCCCTGTAGAAGAATCAAAGTTTCAGGCAAACCCAAGTGTAGAGGTAACTTTTACAACCTTCTCCTCTTGTTGAAAATCTTTTATGGTTTTACCTTGAGGCTTTTATATGAGCAACTCTGCAACTGAAGTAGATTCTGCTCCAAACCCAGAAAAAAAGTTTACATATTTCAAGCTTCAAACCACCATATTTAACAAACAAGAATATTTAAGCAATAAACTTCAAAATTTTATCATATGTTTCTTGTTGAATCCATCAATGTTCATCATCATTCCTGTAGTATAATGATAATCCAAAAAAGAGAAGGAACAACCCAAAATATGGCAACAATGGGAAAGATCATGGCATAAAATGAGAGAATTTGCCAAGAATTGTACCTGGATATGTTCTTGAACGAGCTTGATATAAAGACAGGCTTCTTGAAGAACAGATGCAGTATCAGTCTACGATAAGTAAACAAAAAGTTATACCGTTTTACGAAAGGAAAATTTTGTTGTTCTCTTTTAGAGGAAAAATAAGCTCCATTTTCTAAGCAATAAATATTACCAACCTTGCCGTAAGGGGAAACCAGCTTTTGAAGGGCAGTAATTTTGTCGCTAAGCCTTTGGCTTTTCCTTGCTGGTTCCTGCAACTGCATGCAATAAAAGACAAATGAAAGTGCATAGGATGGTAACAAGGGAAGTGGATTTATTATTTATCTCTCAGATTAGTTTTTTCCCTTTTTTAGAATATCAACGGAGATTCGAACCTACCACTCTTTATAAGAGAAGAGGTAGGAGATGCCTTAGCCATTGAGCTGTTGGCAATCTTTCGAACTAGTTTGAATGATCTAATTTGATTTGTGTCACATTTCAACTCATCATTCAAAATGGATTCAAACGATTGAAGGAAAAGGATTTGGTTTAAGTACTCTGCTATCATGGATTCCTGATGGTTCTTGTTGGTTTAAATAACGCAGGCCCTGTTCCAAGGCATTGACCTTCATTCTCTTGTTATCCCCTGCCACATCACCTGGGGAAGTTCGTAGGCCTTTCTGGGCAAAGAACTCACGTTTCTTTGCATTCTGGGCCAGAAAATCGAAGGAGTATACAATTAATTTTCAGTACAAGTAGTAAATGCTTGGAGAGTTAAAAGTTTTGTAAGCAGACGGGAAGAAATTTAGAGGGAATGAGCTGTTACCGATTCATTCTGCAGAAAAGAAACCTTCTTGGGAAACAATATTGACTGAAATGAAACACTATCAGCCATGGAGATACTTGCACTGCAACCTTCCACCAAAAAAAAAACAGAAAAAATAAATTCATATGATTTAGGATGGTTTAAGAATTTTTTTAATTCAATGTTTAAAAAAATAGTTTTAGTTTTCGTTTTGAAGTGTTCAAAACTGAACTTTCAATGAGGTGGATAATTTATTATTTGTAACAGCAGTGATTAATAGTGCTGTGTGAATAACTAGAATATTGAGGGCAGAATTCCAGGAAACCATTAAAAACACAATTAGTTCCATCGAAAAGTAACCCTTTGTTTAAAGTTTGAATATTGTCACGCAATCAAAATTACTGAGTTACAATAATGCAAATTAATGTGATAAAATCAAGTGAGATTTTGTTATGTCTTTTAGTGCAATCATTTCTAAAGTAGTTGGTAAGGAAAGAAAACATGAAATTAGGATGAATGAAGGAGAATATTTCCCCAAAATTAATAAAATAAAATAAGGACGGAATTGACTACCTGGCTGGTAGCTAATGGGGCGCTGACAAGGAATAGTGAAGCCTCCATCCTTTAGCTGGCCGTCATTGTTGAATAACTTAGACTCTAAACAGAAGGCACTGTAGTAAACCAACAAACTTTTTGAGGAAAATTAAGACAGATATTAAAGGTCCATTCTAACTTCTTTTCTATTCTTCCGTTTTTTCTAATCAAAGTTTTCAACCACAGCTTAGACCAGGATTTCGAGTGGTGTCTCTAGAGATCTATTTGATAATGTTCTTCTTTCTTATTTTTGTTTCCTCTTTTTTAATAAAGAAAAATAGAATTGGATGATCCAACGCCCATGGATTGAAAAATGACAAAACAATATATTTATTTATATTTTGAAACAAATTGGAAATGGGAAAAAAACAAAATAAACTTGATTTTGTTGTCTTCGAAATTTCTATTCAATTTTGAGAATGTTTCTATAAATGCTTTGATTTCTTAATAAAATTGAAAACAAGAATTAAGAAACTAAAATGACCCTAAAAATTTGAAGCCCCTAGACATTCCTTGGGGTGTCTGTTCTAGCTTATTATTATTATATTTAGAGAAACAAATGACGAGGCTATATAATTGTTATGTTCAATAAGATGGTTTTTCTCTTTTGGAGGCTTCACAGTTTCAAGGAGCCTCAGAAAAAAGTTGGACAATTATTTGGGGAGTTCGATTTTTGTATATGCCATGAAAATGGTCAGTGATAAGTAGTAGACGCCTACAAGTGTGAGGTTGATCGGATACATTCCCTTCAAAATAGTTCAAACAGAATAATTCATTCCTTTTCTTTTCGAGATTGTAAACTCTAGAATTGTCTTATCAAGTTCCCTTCAAAAGGGAAAAAAACATATTTTTGATAGAGTAATTCTCCCTCTACTAGTCCATATGACGATTTTCATATCAAACTATGTTCCTCTTCTTCAAGAAACAAATAAAATAAAATAAAAAAAGGAAGAGAGCGAGAGAGAAATGGTTCGCTTGGTTTTGAAAGATAATGAGATTGAACGGGAGATGATACATACTAATTATTAGCCTTCTGCGATGGAACATCCATGTTAAGCAGTCAAATTTCACTGTGCCCTGCTACAAAGAAATTTGTACATGAGAAGTAATACTATAAATTTAATGAGAAAAAGGCTATTTGTTGAAATCATTATGTTAAGATTATATATAAAAATAAATATTTAACATTAGCTATCCGCATAATCTTCTTTTAGGTCTAGTAGTAGTCTAAGATATTAACTATGGAATGAAGTTGTGCAGATGCAGATAAAAGAAAAATGTTTCTCATTGTAAGAAACTGATCAAGAACGCCTCCACCACCCCCCATCAATATCCTTCAACCTCCTGATTCTTGCAAAACGACAAGCTTCTGGAGAAACCCTCTGAAGTTCAGAGTAAAATGGCCAGATACTGCAAATCAAAGAACAAAAATTGTATTTTCCTATGTATTGCAAATAGTTCTTATTATGAGGGAGAGGAGAAGAATAGAATCAACGATTCACTCTTCGACCATTATAGTTTATTGGTCTCCATATTATTTTGTTCTAAAGTCCACAATCTCCAGAGTTTTCTAAAAAACTTGAACAAAAACCAATTGCGGTGAACAGAGAGAATTTAATTACATGCTTCTCACCTCTCAGAAGCACCAAGCAAGAGCTCACTTTCTCAGGTTACCAACTCGGAACATTGTTTGGTAGGCATGGGGCAATGAAGCACCAAGCGAACCTGAAGGAGTTTAATTGTATGAGAATATGCACAAAATGCATATATAGTGAAGAGAGAGAGCGGATTTGGGGCAACTATGGTAACTCACCTCTTATTTCTTTTAGATACTAAATTATTTACGAAAACAAAGGAAGAAAATCAAGTTAAACTAACTTGTTTGACAACCATTTTATTGGTAGTACAAAAAGAAATTCAAATTGTTAATTTAATAATACAAAAATATTAACTTCAATGCATGGTCAGTATATAATGATATTTATTGCACTTTACCAAAAAATTAATAAAAATCAAGGGATTGATGAACTTATAAATGTTTAATAAATATTTGTAGAAACCGAGAAGTTAGAGATAAGAAATCTCGTCAACTATAACTGCATGTTTATAGAAGAAAAGAAACAATATCTGTTGAGTGTGAGGATGATATTTTCCATTCGTAGAGAGTTCTAAGATCACATGCATATTCAATCAATGTATGAACGGCATATCAAACGCCCAGCCACTCAGAGCCTTCTACAGGAGGAGTGGGGCGGCTTTACATATAAATTTTGGCAAAATTTGTTGCAATCTGTTCGGTTTCGCTTTCACCAAATTTGACTTGCTTTGATTTATTTATGCAAGTTGATTTTTTTATTTCATTTATGCAAACAGATAAAAGGCAGAATACATGCATATTATAGCTAGTCAAATATAGATATAAAACTATATAATTTTGGATGCTCTTTTCACAGGTTAGCAGGAATTAGCATACAAAACTATGTAAAATTGAACACAATTCAAACAATTGGGAGAAACTTTATGCTTATAACACAATTATAGAGTTCAACTTGTACATAAAAAAAAAAAGTAATTGGAAAGCACCTAAAAGATAATAATAACTCAGAAAATATGGAATGAAAGATCATGATTATAACCTGAAACTAATAGATGGAAGGTTATTTACGATTGTGCTGTGTTAACACACCATGGATCCGTTTTCCAGGAAAACCATTCCAATTCAGCTATCTCCTAGTCCATTTTTTTTTATTTGTTAGGAAAATACACCTATCATTTAAAAGTATATACACGCCAGAGAAAACACCCCAAATAAAATAATTATCTTTGCTAGTTGTTACCGTTGTATCTGATGGTTCGGTTTCTCCTTCCTTGGAATACTGGCTTATTACCCCCATATTATAGAATATTTCTACATATTCACCTCAATTTCAATGAAACATCAGTGATCAGCCCTGTTTATGTTTTAGTCGCCACTAGACATGGTAGCTTTTAGAGCATGACATATGGAATAACAACAATAGCTGCACATATACAGACAAATTACAAGAAATAAATCTTCGTACAGACTTCGAATCTTTTATATTGCATTCTTTCTATAATAGATTAATTTATGATGCTTGTACGTGAAAGATGTTTACAGAAAACTTAAAATATGTAAGAAACCAGCTGAGATATTAGAATTGTAAATTAACTAATTAAAAAATGGTTTTCAGGAAGGCGTTTTCTATTTGAGATCTGCTATTTAGAATTGTAGTGATACGTCATTTCTCACATTAATAAATAGATCCAATCATCTTTTCCCATCAACACCTATTCAGTAATCTTCTAATTCTAGCTAATTTAGCTAATACGACTTTTCTAGGGATGTTCCGTTCACGAACTAGACTTGTGTAGAGACGTCGAGTCCATGTTTGGTATGTGGGTAGAACTTTGTCAATCTCATTTGCCATATAAATCCAAACTTATAGAACCTACCTTTTACACTAGGTTACCTTCACAAAACATAAATCCAAAAATCAAATATAGGTTGTCCAAATCTAAGTTTCTATAGCCAATTTTTTATACAATCCAAAATACAAATTATTAAAACTCAGACTTACAAAAACTATGAGCCAAAAATCCTGAAAATTTTCAGTATCTGACTCCATCAGATTACAACAAGCTTCTGATTGTCTTTTCTTCAAAGGAAGAAATATTCCATGTATCAGATTCTGAAGCTTAAAAATTAATCAAACAACATTTATAAAATGGAGTTGACTAGATGGAAACTTTTAAAATATCAAATGGGCATGTCTTTTAAGCTTTGTATCCTTCCATAAAGCCGAGCGATTCCTTTTCATATCATCGCAGTCCAAAATTGAGTTCCGTTTTTCTTATCTTTGAAATACTAAAAATGAATGGACTCTTAAACATGAAAACGTAGACTATTTCTGAGGGAACGTAAATACAGATAGATACCTAACAACAACCATCTTCCATGGAAATACTACAGAGAAAGATCAAATTGGGCGACGTGATCGATTGAAAATGCAGAGAGCGATAGTCAAACCTCAGACTCGGAACTTGCCAGAATCTTCCTCTCTTTCGATCGCATAATTTGGAAGGCTGGCTGTGAACACTATCCATTTGAAGAAATGTCTCGCACAGAGCGCCCATTCGCAGTTCGTCCGGCGAGAAAAATAAAAATTAAAAAATCATCGATCTCTGTGTGTAAGCTAACTTTGTTCGAATTTTCGCTCCAATTGTTGTTAAATTAAAAAATGGCGGTTGAACTTGAAACTGAAACAATTTTACTTTCTTAATTGTAATTAAGTTTTAATCTCGCATTTAAAATTCTGCATGGAAAACAATAAATAAATAAATAAAACCCTAATTCAAACCAAACAAATCTAGTAGAATTTATTCCTGGAATTTATGTAGGTGGCCATTATGAGATTTAAACTCATTATCTCTTAATTAACCCTAGTTCCTTTGGACCAATCAGTCACCCATAATGATTACGATAAATAGAGGTTTTTTAAAAGAATAATTTGTGATATATTTAGACGTGTTTGGTGACGTTATTGTTTCTTATTTCTCAAATTTTATTTTATTGAGAAACTTGAACATTGGACAATTATTTATATTTATTGTTTCTCGTTTAAAAAAAAAACATTCTAAAATATATATATAAATTTTGAAAACAATAAAAATAAGTTTTCTCTTGGTTTCTTGTTCTAATTTATAATTTGTTACATAACATGAATGAAAATATTATTTCTATTGGGTTGATGGCTATACAATTATATTTTTTTCTACCACAAATATTATCCAACGAGCCCTTAGACAACTGAATAAATAATATAAAAGTAACAAAAATTCCAACGTCATTATCACTATCATCATTGTTTTTTTAGTACAACATGGGATAGGGTTTCGAACCCACAACCTCTTGATTGAAAATACATGCCACTTACCGTGAGCTATGCTCGAAAAGGAAAGAAGACCAATGTTGCTGATAAAGGAAAATGTTTCAACTGTAGCGTTGATGGACATTGGAAGAAGATCAGGCCAAAGTGCTTGATTGAAAATAATAAAGTCAAATAAGGTAAATACAAATTACTTGTCCTGAAAACTTGTTTGGTGTGGAAAATGACGATTATGTATGGATACCACTAATCATGTTTGTTATTTTTTTTTTTTTTTGCAGGGAGTTGTTTCTTAGAGAGAGTTGGATGTTTGAGAGACGACTCTTAGAGTTGGAATCGGGGAGGTCGTCTCTACAATTGTTGTTGTTAGCATCAAGTTATTGTTTAGCAAAAATAGATACATATTATTAGATGATGTGTATGTAGTTCATGATATAAATATGAACTTAATTTATATCTATTACTTATCGGAACAATGTTTTTGCAATTTTGTTTTATATATCTCCGGACCAGCTTACACGCACATCGACTAATATCACAAGACAACCGCCTGACCCTATGATATTTGGTGCTGGAAAACACATAAAAATTACTAATTCCTAAATAGGTGGTGATTGTGGGATTTGAACAATATTTTTATAATTTAATTAGAACTAATTTATAAATTATCATGAGTAACTTCGTAAATTAAAAGCTAAAAAGTAACTTTATATGAACTATCTCTTACAATTTAGTCATAACTTTTTAATTCACAGTTTAAAGGAACTTAACTCAATTAGTTAATGCACCTATTTTGAACCAAAATATCACGAGTTCCAACTCCTAACTGTATTAAAAAAAATTACATGGGTATTAATGTAAGTTATTTCTCTCTCAATTATTTGATTGTGTAATTTATATAATATTAAAATGTGAGATAATTGATAATTTTTTTAAAATATATTTATCGTTTTGAAGTTCTAAACCTAATTGTTTACTATTTATTTATTTCACTAATTTTTAAAAATCAAAATAACATTTATCTTTTAGAATCCAAATAAATCATGTTAAATTAATTTTAATTTTAATTTTCCGTCGTGAGTACAGTTAAATAAAAAAATGTTGTTGAAATACGAATAAAAAAAAAGAGATTAGTACTCTTAAATAAAAAAGAGTTTTAAAACCATATGGTCATGTTTTCAAATTGGCCTCAAGTAATGTATATAATGTATACGATTATATCGAGTTCGTCAAATATAAAGTTATCAAATAAAAAAGACCTAATTGTGGATATTGAGATATTCGAGAATGTATTTATAAATATTATCAAACCAACAATATATTATAAAAAATATTTTAGTAATAAATATTGGGCTTGGGCCCATAATTCGAAGCAAACTTTGATATACACGTATCACAGTCGGCCCAATTGGCGAGACCCGGTTCGAAGAGGGGCCACAAAGCAAATCCATTAAATTTCAACTTACTATAAATACTCTAGGGTTTCTCTTTCACTCTTCTCTCTTCGTTAGAACCCTCGAAAGAAGCCCTAGTTCCCGCCCCTGCTCGTCAACCATTTCGGAGGCGCCTCTGCAACATCTGCCTTTCTTTGCTGTACGTAACAATCTAGGGTTATATTTCGGGTTTCTGCATCACATTGTAGTTCTTTTACGTGCGTTCTCATCGTATTTACTGTTTTTTGGGGTCTTGCCATGCTCTAAAATCAATCTGCTAGTATTTTTTCCCGTGTTAATTGATGGGGTATTGGACTAGGCAATCGAAAAATTTTGTTTTGTCTTTCATGATTTTGATTTGTATGTAGACGGGAAAGCATTTCCTATTTGTTTTGTGATTCGAGTATATGTGGCGTCTGTCGAACTTATCAGACTGTTTGAGATGTAACTCGGGAGAGATATCGTCTGTATTTTGAGCGTGTTGCTTTCACTTGTGCGGCGTATCAAGCTGCAGAGTTCGCTGGAAATTTGAATGTTCAGGCTGCATAATTTAAGTGGCCAAACGCACGTCTCTTTCGGATATTCATTCTGTACTGATGAAAGGGTTGATTGTATGCTTGTTAATTAATATTATTCCCTTTTTGTTAGGCTATTAAATGATTCGTAGTAGAATTATAAGGTTACTAATTGGGAACAATATATGTATTCTTCGTGTCCAAGAGGTTTAGCTGGCTGTTTCTAAGGTCGATAAATTGACTTACGAGGTTTTCTTCTTATTTTGCGCATTCTTAACTTGGACTTTGGGCGTTTTACGTTTTTCAGTGACAATGGTGCGTGTGAGTGTTCTGAATGATGCTCTTAAAAGCATGTATAATGCTGAGAAACGAGGGAAGCGCCAGGTCATGATAAGGCCATCATCCAAAGTTATCATAAAGTTTCTTCTTGTTATGCAGAAGCATGGTATGCATTAAGTTTCACGCCAATAAGTTCACTTTGCTCTCTTTTGTTTTTGGCCCTTAGACCTGTATGATCTTATTTGGTTAACTTTTCATTGTTATAGGATACATTGGGGAGTTTGAGTACGTTGACGATCACAGGTCAGGCAAAATTGTTGTTGAACTTAACGGGAGACTCAACAAATGTGGCGTCATTAGTCCCCGTTTTGATGTTGGTGTCAAGGAAATTGAAGGTTGGACTGCAAGGTTACTACCCTCTAGACAGGTATTTTTCTCTCTTGCTTGGAGTCAGCTTATTCGGTATTACTCTTCAGATTTATTTGTTTCTGCATAAGCCAAACTTTTATAACTACTATGTTGATACAATTTCAGTTTGGTTTCATCGTGTTAACTACATCTGCGGGAATCATGGACCATGAAGAGGCTAGAAGGAAGAATGTTGGTGGTAAAGTGCTTGGTTTCTTTTACTAAGCGGTGTCGTGAAATTGAAATTCTTTTCCGATTTTCTGCACTTTTGAACTTTAATGGAAGCAGTAGAGTCCTGTTTTGTTTTAGCTGCCGTTTTGGTTGGAGGATACAGGATGTGACCTGCATTGTTTTTTAAGACGTTGAGATTGTTTATGAGCTTTTTGTTTAATCTATGAGCTGTTTTTATCTGTTTGACATGCTGAAAACTGAAATTGCTAGCTTCAGAACTGATTACTATCTTCTTTCCGCTATCGGCTTCTGTGGCTTGATCAAACTTGATGATTTCCCAAAAATTTTATTCAACATTTAAGAACAGTAAACAAAATTTTACATGGGTGTGTTCGGTAACATTACATGTGATACTTTGTGGCCATGACGATCTTTTTAAAAATAGAATGATTTGACAACTATTCACTAGGAGTTCTTTGGATTTTCGGACATAGTTATTTTGTTAATTTTACTCTCTGCTTAGAGGATAGGCCAGTTCTAATTTCAACAACAAGAAGGTTATTCTATGATAAAAAGTGAAACAGCTTTCATTTGTATAATATTTGAAGCATTTAAAGCACGCGTTCGCTGTTTCCGTTTCACGGGCTACGACACCGTTTTGTGATTGAGTGGTTAAGAAGTTCACGAGATTGTCGATGATTCGTCGCCGTAGATGGATGATTGGCTGTGTGTGCATCCACCAATGAGCCTCTCCTCCAACTCTCCCTGGAACCATCCTTTTTAGCCACTGCTTTAATAAAGAAAATTCCAAATTCAATGGTCTATTATAAGTTTCTTATCTCTACCAAAATCCCTTTAAAACGATTACCAAAATCCCTTTAAAACCATAAAGTTAAAGATAGAAATGATTGTAAGAACATCAGTTTTTTTTTTAGAATAATTGGGTGGGAATTTGAATTCATGACTTTTACTCAGAGATGAGTGCTTTGTTGATCTAATTATTGAGATGGTAATTTGATTCTCTTTCGTGTCGAATTTCTAAAATATTTGATAAATAGAGAGATGAACTTGATATGATATCTATTATAGCGTGATTTTAACGTCAATACCATGAAAATGACGTAAGAAAGAGATTTTTCGTCCATTTGACAAATTGTATAGACATAAGTGGAAATTTTATGGCTATAAATTTCGAATGTGATGATGTAGTTCAAATTATATCCTCAAACCATTTTGAATAATGTTAGAAAAGGATGGCTACAAGCCAATTTGAGTATAGTACGGTTGAACAATGACCAGGACTCATATACTCTTGAAGATGATGAGATCACCCTGTTCAAATTATTATAACAAGCTCTCTCACAATACTACTATAAAATGAAAACTTTACGAGTATTAAACAAAAATTCATCCAAGCTCAAAATATAGATATAATTTTAAAGTCAAAGAAGTTGAACTAAAATCTTCTTAATTTACTAAATTGACTTGTATTTGTTTTTTTGTTACTTTTCTGGAAAAGTAACGAGGACACGTATGTCAACTCTAGCGCCTTCCCGAGTCCTGACATTTAGAATTGGATAAAATAATAAATTGCGGATTCGCGGGAGAAAAAAAGAGTGTCAGTTTCCATAATGCGGGAAAGGAAAGATACAGAAACCGCATCTTGCTTGCTCTAAGATCAACTCATTTGCTTCAAATCGATAGGGTTTCTCTGCCTGTTTTCATCGCTCTCTGGTGATTCTTCTTCCATATCTTTCCATTTTTTCACCTCAGATTCGTGTTTACTTCACGCAGTTGCACTTCATTTTAGTGTTCCTTGAGTTCTGCTAACTAGTTCTGAGGTTTTTCCACTCTTCATGATGTTATGTAATTATGGAATTTGATTAAAAGAACTTGTTCGTATTGAATGTTAGTTTATTAACTTGTTGTTCAGAGAGTGTTACATGTTCGATCCAGTCATTTTTTTCCGGAATTTCTGCTTGTTCTGTTTCGGTTTGTATGGAGCTAATGGACTTTATTTTTAATTAGCTAGTATCGACGACGGTACTTTGGAAAGTTTATTTTACATTTAATGAAGAACATTTTACATCGAAAATTGTTTTATTATACTTTGATGCGAGAGTTCTTTATTAGTAAGCAGTTTATTGTTTATGGTTTATACTCCTCAGGGTTCTGTTTTATTTTATTGTTATTATTTGTACAATGGTTGTAGAGCCTATTGTTTCCTGAAGTGGGAGAAATTTCGTTATGTTTAACTTGTTATTGTGTCGATATGACATTTCTGTAGATCTTGTTTCCCATTTCTTCTCGTTCCAGTGTCTTAATATGTTATTGTTTATGAATTATCTTTCAAACTATTGGTTGTCTGGAATGTCATTATTTTCTATTTATTTGTGCGTTCTTCTTACTATATATATACATATATATATTTTAATTCTCTAATCCCAGATTTTGCTTTCTCAGGAGGGGAATGATGCATATCTTTGGGCATCAGGTCTGAGAAGTTCAGATTTGACTCATTTTTTCCAATAAACTAATACACGAACTATGAGGTGGTTTAGAGCAAGCTCCGCTTTAGCAAGACTTGCCATTAAGAGAAGCTTAGTGCAGGGAGGATCATATGCTGGGGAATCAAGGATCAGTGCATCTCAAAGTCGATATTTTCATTCCACACTTTTTAAATCAAAAGCTCAAGGTGCTCCAGTTCCACGTGCTGTTCCCCTTTCTAGGCTTACTGATAGCTTTTTAGATGGAACTAGTAGCGTCTACTTGGAGGAACTTCAAAGGGCTTGGGAGGCTGATCCTACCAGTGTTGATGAGTCATGGGATAATTTCTTCAGAAACTTCGTGGGTCAGGCTGCCACATCTCCTGGCATTTCTGGCCAAACAATACAAGAGAGTATGCGTTTATTGTTGCTTGTGAGAACATATCAGGTTAATGGTCACATGAAAGCCAAGTTGGATCCCTTGGATTTGGAAGAAAGGGAAATTCCTGATGAGTTGGACCTTGCACATCATGGTTTCACAGAAGCTGATCTTGATCGGGAATTCTTCTTGGGGTTGTGGAAAATGTCTGGGTTTTTGTCTGAGAACCGCCCTGTTCAAACACTCAGATCCATTTTGACCCGTCTTGAGCAAGCATATTGTGGAAGCATCGGATATGAGTACATGCATATTGCAGACCGTGATAAATGTAACTGGTTGAGGGACAAGATTGAGACCCCAACATCAACGTATTACAATCAACAACGCAAGGGGGTTATTCTCGATCGGCTTATATGAAGCACACAATTTGAGAACTTTTTGGCGACCAAGTGGACCACAGCAAAGAGGTTTGGGCTCGAGGGAGGGGAGACTTTGATTCCTGGGATGAAAGAAATGTTTGATAGGGCTGCAGATCTCGGGGTTGAGAGCATAGTTATCGGAATGCCTCATAGAGGGAGATTAAATGTCTTGGGTAATGTTGTCAGAAAGCCACTACGTCAAATATTTAGTGAGTTTAGTGGTGGTACAAAGCCTGTCAATGAGGTTGGGCTCTATACAGGAACTGGTGATGTGAAGTATCATTTGGGAACTTCTTATGACCGACCAACTAGGGGTGGCAAGAGGATCCACCTCTCGTTGGTTGCTAATCCAAGTCATTTGGAAGCTGTTGATCCTGTGGTTGTTGGAAAAACTCGGGCAAAGCAATACTACTCAAATGATGTGGACCGCACAAAGAAAATGGGTGTTTTGATTCATGGAGATGGTAGTTTTGCTGGACAAGGTGTTGTCTACGAGACTTTACATCTCAGCGCTCTTCCAAACTACACCACTGGCGGCACCATTCACATCGTTGTAAACAATCAGGTAGCATTTACTACTGACCCAAGGTCAGGAAGATCCTCACAGTACTGTACTGATGTTGCTAAAGCCTTGAATGCACCCATCTTCCATGTGAATGGAGATGATGTGGAAGCAGTTGTTCATGTATGTGAGCTGGCAGCAGAATGGCGCCAGACCTTTCATTCAGATGTTGTAGTTGATTTGGTTTGTTACCGTCGTTTTGGGCACAATGAGATTGATGAGCCATCTTTCACCCAACCTAAGATGTATCAGGTGAACTTTATTGTAACATTTTCTCATAGCTGTATAGTTTAATTCTAAACCCTGTATTGCATTTGAGTGCTACTGATGAAACGTTGTAGCTCTCGTCCACGATACTTAACTTTGTTTCTTGACAGGTAATCAGGAATCATCCCTCATCTCTTGAGATCTATAGGAAGAAACTTTTAGATTCGGAGCATGTGACTCAAGAAGACATTGAGAAGATACAGTCCAAGGTCAATTCAATACTTAATGAAGAATTTATTGCCAGCAAAGATTATGTTACTAAAAGAAGGGATTGGCTTTCAGCATATTGGGCTGGATTCAAGTCCCCTGAACAGCTCTCACGTATTCGGAATACAGGGCATGTGGAATGATATTTTCCTTTTTACTGCTTTTCACTCTTTACGTTATACTAATATTTGTAAGCTACTTTGCAGGGTTAAACCAGAAATCTTGAAGAATGTAGGAAAAGCTATTACATCCCTTCCTGATAACTTCAAGCCACACAGGTCAGTCAGAAAGGTGTATGAACAGCGTGCCCAAATGATTGAAACTGGGGATGGCATTGACTGGGCCCTAGGAGAAGCACTTGCTTTTGCCACATTGTTAGTGGAAGGTAACCATGTCAGATTAAGTGGACAGGATGTTGAAAGAGGTACCTTTAGCCATAGACATTCAGTTCTTCATGATCAGGAAACAGGAGAAAAGTATTGCCCTCTTGATCATGTTATCATAAACCAGAATGAGGAGATGTTTACGGTCAGTAATAGGTAATGGAAAAGATATTACGTAAGCAATTTCTTTTGTGTTTACATTTATCATCCATGATAATGTTCCTGCCCGTTGCTTCAATTTTGAGAAGAAATGTGTTCATTGCTTCTGATGAAATAGACACAAACAAATCCTTATCCTGTAACTTTGTTGAATGCAAAGTAGAATCTTACTTTGGTAGCACGAGTATTGTCTTACTAGGGAATATCATTCTCACTATATATATATATATATTTTTTTTTTTTAGGATATGATACCGATATTATATCCTTTCTCATTCATGTTTCTTGTATTTGTAAACTGCTCTCTTTTCTGGATAGCTTAAGATATGAATTATGGATGCTCAGTAGTTATTTTCCAAGTGCTAGTTTGCTATCCTTTCTTACACTTCATTCCTTTCTGCAGTTCTCTCTCAGAATTTGGCGTTCTTGGATTTGAGTTGGGTTATTCAATGGAAAATCCCAATTCACTGGTAATTTGGGAAGCTCAATTTGGTGATTTTGCGAATGGGGCACAAGTGATATTTGATCAGTTCTTAAGCAGTGGAGAATCGAAGTGGCTGCGACAAACAGGACTTGTTGTGCTACTTCCTCATGGCTATGATGGCCAGGGTCCGGAACATTCAAGTGCAAGACTGGAGCGTTTCCTTCAGGTACTTCATTGAAGAAATTTCATTCCTCTTTACTACCAGATAAGCACAATCTCTTCCCTTTCTTTTCTTTCTACTTTACTGTTGTGCTTGTTGTGAGAATCACTTTCTTTGTGTATGAAAGGTTAGCTTGATGTTTCCAAGTTTTTTCTATTTTCTTAGATGAAGGATCGCTGGTCTATGAACCTTTTAATAATTTTTATTGTCTTACATTTTCTAATTAGAAAAAAGTGTGCCATGTTTCCCCCTTCTCTCACGAAGTTTGGATGCTGATTTTTTGAAATTTGATGTTCTTCCTGGTTAAAATGTCTAGAACTTTATCATATTGAGGTTCTAATAATTTCTTATGTTATAGGGATTAAGGGGAGCAAAGCTCTGACTTCCCATTATCGAAAAAGGAAAAAAAAAAAAAGCTTATGTTAGATTCTCTTGAATTAGTGCAGTCTTAATTAGACCTGTGTTTATGGAAATGGATTTGGTTTAGCTTAGATATTTCGTCAATATTGATTTCATTAAATTCTGTGATAGATGAGTGATGATAACCCTTATGTTATGCCTGAGATGGATCCAACTCTTAGGAAGCAAATTCAAGAATGCAATTGGCAAGTTGTGAATGTTACAACTCCTGCTAACTACTTTCATGTGCTTAGGCGTCAGGTGAGTTAGATAATAAAGAATTCAAGTTTCCTTGAATCAATTCATTCCTTTGTTACTTTATCCAATTTTTTGCTTTCTCCAGATTCACAGGGAATTCCGCAAGCCTCTCATTGTGATGTCTCCCAAAAACCTGCTTCGTCATAAGGACTGTAAATCCAATCTGTCTGAGTTTGATGATGTAAAAGGCCACCCAGGCTTTGACAAGCAGGGGATTAGATTTAAGCGCCTTATCAAGGACCAAAATCTGCACTCTGATTGTGAAGAAGGTATCAGGCGTTTGATACTTTGCTCTGGAAAGGTAGGCCACACATTTGATTTCAACTTCTTATATTATATTAATTTACATCCAAGTCAGGTCTTATTGTCTCCTTATTGTTGGTAACTTCAGACAGAAGAATTGACTTTCTTGTTTAAACCCACAGACCAATGTTGACTCATACTATGGATCTAAGTTTGAAGCTGAGACTTCATATTAGTTATTAAATTTCAATCTTCAATATAAGATTCTCTGACATGTTTTGTACCAGATTTATTATGAACTAGATGAAGAGCGGAAAAAAATCGATGGAAAGGACATTGCAGTATGTCGGGTGGAACAGCTATGTCCATTCCCATACGATCTCATCCAGCGAGAGTTGAAACGGTATCCAAGTAAGTCCATTCAACCTACTGCAGAAGATTATTAAAGTGTACCTAGTCAAAAACTTGTAAGGAGTTAGCTTGCAAATATTTGGACAAAGCTTGCATTAGGCTCTTGTTTCCAACATTTAGCAGAGCACCAACTTGTAGTTGTTATTACAAAGGATACATTGCTTTTGTCGTTGCTTCATCTTGCAGAAACCATAATGACTTTTCAACTCCGTAGAGATGGTTGAATTTAGGGCTTAACGCTTGGCACTCCTCCAAGTCTATATTTGGGAATGATGCCAAATATATATGTGAATGCTTTAATTACAAACATTTGTAG